AAAAGAGAATGACGATCTGATAAAGTTGTTGTGAGAACTAAATGAGAAAGCACTTAGCACTGCATGTGATAACTGTTACAATTTTATCGATAATATCAATATTAGCAATAAGAAAATCAGTTGTCCTTTAGATAATGGGATTGGAAAAGAGTCTAGAATTTTCATAAAATTCCTATTCTCATTTCAGCACACATCCGTAAAATGGGAGAACAAAAAGAGAAAATTGGTGTCTTTGGTTAAATATGCACATATCTAGTTTGAGAAATCACTGCCAAACTATATATGCCATTTATGGCTGGGGCTTCAGGAGAAACTGAGGTTACCAGATATAACATCAAAAATGCAGCACATTGCTAATAATATTGCACAGTACTTGAGTTTTTGCTAAAGAGGAGATCATAGCTGCTCTTGCCACACACACAAAAGTCGGTGAGATGATGGATATTTGCTTGATGATGGTAACCTTTTCACTATCTCTGTATCCCACACGTTATATTCTACACCCTAAATACATACAATAAATATTTTTTAAAAATTGATTCATAGGAGGTATTTATGTATTCCAGATACTAATCTCTTGTTAATATATGCGTTGCAAATGCTCCTTTTTAGAATCCAGACCATTACTCATTTCACTATCTATAAGGTGATACTACTAATAGAGATTTTAAATGCTTGTGTAGTTGAAATATTCAATATTTTCTTCTTTGTCTCAGTTTCTGCATTTGTAAAATGTACCTAATTGTGCCTACCTCACAATGTTGCTATGACTGAATGAAATAATGCATGCAAAGCACTTCTCCCATAATAGCTGAGTTTTGGGCTCGTAAGTGTTCGGTAACGATTTGCTGTTTTTATTAGGGTACACTTTATTATGCAAAGACCTGTTGGGTGAAAGAAAAATAATTTTATGTCCGGGAGAAAAATAAATAAAATAAAATAAAAAATGCAGCATTTTGGGGGATTTGTATACATTTTAATTTTTAAATTTCCTTTTAAAGATGCATTTTATTGCATATATTTAAGGCATATAACATAATGTTTTGGGATACACATTGGTAATAAACATGTTACTAGAGGGAAGCAAATTAACATATTCATCTTCTCACATAGTTACCTTACTTTTTGTTTTTGTGCCAAGATCAGCTAATGTCTATTCATTTAGCATGGGGATTCACATACATTTTAAATAATAAAACGGAGACAGATATTCTCTCATATTCACAGGTGAAAATAAAGTAACTGAATGTCTGGTAACTTAGCTGACACATGACTGCAGGTCAGGAGAAATATGCAAAGGCCTTAGAAAAGTGATCATCTAGAGATGATGTGCTCTAAAGGCTACTTCCTGCACTCACGTGCATCTGGGCTCCTCTGCCAGGCTTTGGGGTCCTGCATCCTCAGACGCAGGTGTCACCTGATATCTTCTGCTTCAACATATTCAACATTTTGTGTAGGTGGACATGCCCCTCGGCTTGAGACTAAGTGGTGTCAATGATCTGGCCGAGCCCCAGGAAAAAGTAAGCTTCTGGCTGGGCACAGTGGCTCATACCTTGTAATCCCAGCACTTTGGGAGGCCATGGCAGGTGGATCTCTTGACCTCAGGAGTTCAAAACCAACTTGGGGAACATGGGGAAACCCCATCTCTACCAATACTACAAAAAAATAGCCAGGCAGGTGGTGCGCACCTGTAGTCCCAGCTACTCGGGAGGCTGAGGCAGGAGAATTGCCTGAGTCCAAGAGGTGGAGATTGTAGTCCAGGAGGTGGAGATATGTGTGACAGAATGAAACCATGTCAAAAAAAAAAAAAAGGAAAGAAAGCAAGAGGGAGGGAGAGAGAGAGAGGAGTGAAGGACGGAGGGAAAGAGGGAGGGAGAGAGGGAGGGAGGGAGGGAAAGAAAGGAAGGGGAAGAAAGAGAGAAAAAAAGAAAGAAAAGAGAAATTAGAAAAAGAAAAGAAAAACAAGCTTCTTCTGTAACACTCCACTTTCTGCTCCACTCTCTGCTTCATGCTTCCACAGTTTTGAGGTCATATTTCTAATCTGGAGATCTTGAACCCCAATAAGTCTATAACGGACTTCAGGGGTCCACAAGCCCCTGGATCATATGCACAATGTCATGGGTTTATCTATTTTTTTCCTTGAGATAATTACCATGATGTTTATCAGATTTTTTAAAAAGAGACCTATAATCTCCAAAAAGAACAAGAAATCAACCAAACCGGATGGTCCTTTTCAGTATGGTTAGATTGCCCAACTTCCAGCCTCTTCTCTACTCTGAAGAGTAACTGAAACATCAGTATGGTTAAAGTACAGTACCGTATAAACAGTGGGTGCTCACCAGAGTCATGACCCTAATTTTTCTTTAAAAGGCTTTCTCTGAGAACTGCTGTTCCAGCCCTTCATTTGCCGTATTATTACTTTTTCTAATCAGTTTTCTAGAATGAGCTTGTTTGGGATCACCTGGCCTCATATCTCTTTTTCTTATGCTGTAATTAGACCAAATGATTTTAATGCAGCCCCGAATTTCCCCCTTCGGACTGCAACAACATTTTATACAGAAATCCCACAATATCCTTCACTCTTTAATGTCTTTAGATAAACTTATGTCTCATTTTTATGAAACAACTGTTATATCTGTTTGCAATGAATTGAGAAAATATAGAACTGACATAAACCTCAGCTTTGCTAATGAGAAGATCAAGACCTAGATGATAGATAAATGGACGTGCCAATGGTCACAGTTAGAAGATGGCAAATCCTGTCCGATACCTAATCCCTCTCTCTCCTTTTCTCTCTCTCTTTTCCACATTGAGATTTGAGGCTGCATAATTACAATTTCATGGAGGTTATTGAAACCATCTTGAGCCAGTGACTGGATGTAATGTTACCATTGGATGGCCAGGTTTCATTCAATCAGGAGACTTGTTAGAACCAAGTGATATAGTCCGGAAAGGCCTGCCCATGGGGCTGGATGTCTTCCTCTACAAATAGTTGTTCCGATGCTCGGTCAGCAGGTTTGCTATGTGGCTCCCACGCTCCTGGGGTCACCGGGGTTCTGGGGAGGGCCGTGTCTCATCTGCCTTTCTCTTCATCTGCCCCTTAATGATTGTCGTTAAACTATCCACAACCTACAACATCCACACGCTGCATCCGTCATTTTTTTCCAACCGGTTCATTCGCTTTCCCTGAGTGTTATTTGGAATACGAACTGTATTAGTCACTGTGTTTATTCTGCTGTGCTCTAGAGTTTCAGCTTTGAGTTCTTCAGCTGGTTCTTCAGCTGAAGCAAGAGTTGCCATAGAAACAGGCATACATGTTTTCTTCCTGGACAGGAAGTGAACCTGGGCTTTGCAATGCTGTTTTCAGAGTTGGTCAAGGCTCGCTCATAATGGTTGGCTGCTTATTTAGATGGACGACAATTGATGAGCCAAAGGATATTATTTTTTCTTTGTCTCTCTCTCTCTTTCATTTTTTTAATTTCTATTAAAATTGCTTTCATTTGGCTTTCATTCCAAATTATTTTTCTTCCTCTTGCCCATAATAGTGACATTGAAACTCAAAACCACAACTGATTTTGACCAGGGATATCTTCAGTCCTGAGGGACTTTATTGAGGTTTGCAGAGCCACAGATATTGTCTTATAGTCGTGTCACTTAGGAGCAATGAAGGCTTTAACCACAGGCAGGGAAGAGTTACCCTCAAAACAGAATTAAGGGAAATCAGAAAACGATCTCTTGGCCATATATCTCCCTGGCAGCCATCTCTTGTGGCTGTGTCAGCCACAGGGCCTGAAATTCTTGCCAGAGGGACCTCCTCCTCTTGGTCACTATACTGCATCTCATCCAGCTATGTGAACCTGGACAATTATCCTAACTCTGAATCACAGTATCCTCAAGGATTATATGAACCTCAGTGGTTCATTTCAGCTCTGAAAAGCTGTGACTATACATCCTCTAAGAGAAATAATTTCTGAATGTACTGTTCAGTCATTAACACTTAACAGGTGAATGACTTTCCTAGATTTCTCCTCAATGTTTTAACACTCAACAAGTAAATGTGGATAATGATAGATGAAGGACGACTCCAGGGTATGCCCAGGTGGGGCCTTATAAGGTCAATGGAAACCCGGGAATGGGAGGTGGGAGAGATGGAAAAGGAAATGGATCCAGAAAAGGGAAATAAATGGACAAGTACTAATGGCAAATTTGTACTCGCAATTTTGTCTGGAGGAAGTGTTCTTTGTTATTTTAGTGGCATATAAAAAGAACAGAACATCTTTAGATACAAATCCTTACATATCAATCAAGGAAATTTTATAAAGCGCCTAAACTATGCAAGTGTTTTGGGAGGGAATTCACGAAAAACAGCGAAGCTAGTACCCACCCCCAGGAGTGATTAGCAGTGTTGGGTGTGAACCATGCAGGCACCTGAGGCAAGTATCATAAAGGTCTACAGTTCCTCATGAGTCACCTTTGAGGTATTGCTGGAGTTCTGAGACAGATTCCATCAATGGGAAGAAGCCAATCATTTCTGTGGCAGGTACTCCACCCCTCCCCTCTCTCTCCTGCCTCTCTCCACCATTATCGCTGGGACTGTGCATGCTGCAAGCTTTAATGCTAGCCAGGCTGGCCGGATTTGGAGGGCTGTGATAACGCCTACAGTTTTCTGAACTGGACTTTTGCTTCATTTGTTCAGGAGTCCTTGTGCCATGTTGCTTCACGCGTAGTGCATTATTCACATGTGAGGGATTTCTTTCTTGTCAGTTTGTTCAGTGAATAGAAGATACTGCAATGGTACAAAGAAATTCAGGCAGGTCAGAGAAATGACTAGAATACGTTAGATTATTATTTCATAAAATGTAATGCGATTGAATTAGGGGGAAAACAGTCAGGAAAGAGACTGATGATCATAGAAGTCCATGAGGGTAAGGAGGCTGCTAATAGGAAACATCTTTTATATCCATGACTTTTGACTAACAGGCTGTCATTCTGTCTTGCAGAAATAGATCAAAATGACTGAAAAAGACCCAGAGCCACGTGTGGAGGAGGAGGAGGATGATGACCTGGACAGCAAGCTCAATTACAAGCCTCCGCCACAGAAGTCCCTGAAAGAGCTGCAGGAGATGGACAAAGATGATGAGAGTCTAGCTAAGTACAAGAAAACGCTGCTGGGAGATGGCCCCGTGGTAACAGGTGTGTGTGTATAGAGAAGAGGGTGGGTGGAGGGTCCCCGAGAAGGAAGAAGACGTTTCAGCTGAACTGCATAATTAAGTCATCTTAGAAGAGAAGATGCAAGTCAGCAGTGAGATAGGCACACATTAACACATGGGGAAATTTAGAAGGAATTCCAGACTATCACTTAGAATTGTGTTCCCCTCTCTCCATTTTCTCTCTTCCTTCTTTTGTTCTTTCTCAGTCCTTACCTAACCATTCATCTCTTCCACATACACCGTGGCAGAACAAGACATGGCCCAGAGATATAAGTGGGCAGTGCCCAATTAGCAGAGTACCTGACCCATAGCCATTCAGGAAACGTTGAATATCAGTAATTAGGACGGACGTGCAAGTGCCTGAAGCAAAATAACATTGCTGTAATTTACAAGGGCATCAAGATCAAGGAGAGTGAACCTGCCACATCCATTTCTGTTTCTACTACAGATAGAGAGATCACTTTTATTTTTATGCTCTCTCTCTCTCCCACTTGAAACGCACACACCCACTACACACACATCTGTTCTTCGTGCTTACATTCCCTTTTGATCCTGCAGATCCGACAGCCCCCAATGTCACTGTCACCCGGCTCACCCTGGTTTGTGAGAGTGCCCCAGCACCAATCACCATGGACCTTACTGGTATGTGGACTCATCTGTGTTATTTAGAGGCAGCCTAAGATATCACAAAGAAAACTTGGTCTCTGTCTCCTGCTCCAGCAAAAGAAAACTGGTGAATCAGACAGGTTATATATGCTGGGACCAGTTAACAAGCCATTGCTTAGAGTGCACAGTATTTACCATGTTTCATGAAAAGCCAAACCTCTATCTCTGTTTAACTGAGGAGAGTGCAGGCATACACATTTGAGATATTTACAGATTTTCGTCTCCGCATGATAGTAAGAGAATTGTTATTTATGCAATAAAGACTGCTGACGGAAATACTAAGAAACAAGTTGTGTGCTTCTGAAGTTGTAAGGCTTATACAGTCTAAGCATCAAAGCATTCATCTTTTATCAGCTACAAAACTTACCGAAGGTGAGAAGAAATCCTGAATTATGCTAGAAATTCCACTGCTACAGATTGAATTGTTTTAGCTGGAAACTCTGGTTCTCGTTAAATAAACAACATCCCCTACAAAGGGCGTACTAATTAAGATGTTATCTTCTTTCATGTTATTGTGACTAGGGGTCTAGCCTTTCCCTGAGACTTAGGCTTGAGGAGATGGAGAGAGACTGGGAAGCGGGGTATTGTAGAAATAATGGGCATCTCAGAGGAATGAGAAGAGAAGCACAGAGCCAGGAGATTGGGGGCATCAAAGGCAAGTCCTTAGTGAAAAAAAAGTTACCCAATTAAAAACGTGGACTCTTCTGAGACAGAGCGAAGCACAAGTCTAGAACAGTAGGCTCAATTAGCAGCAGGTTAGTTCCCCTCTCACAGGACATAGCCAGTCTTAGCCTTATATGGGCTTTATTTTGTCAGAGGGAGGAAATCAGAGGCTGAGAAGACACACTTCCTGTTCAACTGAAATCATTAGAGCAGGCACACACATAAATTCAGCTACCCCCATATGTTCAAATCCCACCAGGAGAGAAACTCACACTCTCTCACCAGAACTCAGAGTCTTCCTAACAGTACCAGATACAGTTGCCAGTCTGCAAGAGAAGGTGTGAACGGTGCTGAAGGGATCTGTTCTGTTCGGCAGGGCCTGGTGGCATTGCAGGGAAACTTAGTCTCTGTCCCTTTTCCAAGCAGAGGAAAACCAAATTTGGTTTTCTGTCACAGAAAAAGCTGCTATGCACAGAGAAAAGAATAGAGTGATTACTTCCTTAATCAGGGAACAGGAATGAGGGACAGATCCTGGTTTTACGGCACCTGAAGTTTTTATGACTTCAGTGGTATTCCTTGAGAAAAACAGTGTGAAACTGCAAATGAAAATACAAGAGTAAACACAAAAGTGAATGTTTACTTATAGTGATAAAAGGAATAAAAACAAGTAGAATTTTAAAAGCTAGAAAATGCCACAAATATCACCAAATCTATAAAAACAAATAGCTAACACTCTTATGTAACGTTCTTCTCATATTTTTTTATGTGAGGGGTGGGGCCCCGTTCTTTAGTGACCTCTTCATTTGAGCAGATATATGTCACATCATTTTCTTTCAATGAGAAAATAAATTGACCAGAAAAAGATTTATCTTCACAACACATTGGTAGTTCACAACATACTACTAATACTTTGTGTATTTTTAGCGTTGTCGTCAGACTTGAGGGCAGGGAAACTCTCATGTTTTTCTTAACAGAGCTGTAAGATTTCAGGCATTACAATTGTTAGTGTGTGTGTGTGTGTGTGTGTGTGCACGCACGTGCAAGGACTAAAGTCAAATCCTCGGTGAATTAAGGGTCCTATAAACCATGTTGCCCTAGTGGGCCAAACAAATTTCTTTGGGGTTTAAAAGTCATTCATTAACTTGTGTGTCTGCTTTTGAGGAAGATAAACTCTTTCTAAATCTTCTTCTACAGGAGATCTGGAAGCCCTCAAAAAAGAAACCATTGTGCTGAAGGAAGGCGCCGAATACAGAGCTAAAATTCACTTCAAAGTAAGTTCCTGCCCTGTGTGTTTCTGTAAAGGTTAAATCCTTCCTTCAATCGGTGAGTCAATTTCTTGCACAATCGCGTTGAGATACTTTTTGTTTGCTTCTCCCCAGACACCCCCATGTGGGTCTGGAACGTCCTCTTCCCAGCCCTGAGTGCTGCCTGTGGAGACCCACACTTGCTTCGTGCCTTTTCCTAGCCAGGACTTCTCAAACTCTTCATTATCGCTTAAGCCAATGGGATCCCTCTGTCTGTGAGCTCTGAACACGCACACCACATCCACGACGCACACTACTTTGTGTTGCAGCCCCTGTGTCATTTCGTCTTCATACAACATAAGCACCTCAATCTGGGGTGAGACTGTACATCCCTCCTTTTCAACATTTCACACAAACTTTGTAAATAGCAGATAGTTCATGAATATACATTGAAAAGTGAATGAACAAATGAATCAACCAATAGGAAAAGAGAATGGGACAGATAGGACCTCAGCTCTAATTGCTCAAAGATTATATAAATCCAGGGAGTGTGATCTTTGCTAAAGAACTGGAATTACTGTTATAATTGTGGAACAGGTAACCAGGAAAGAGGAAACTAAATAAGAAATAAACTGACATCTAAGGAATAGCCATATATTCCAATGAGTAGCCAAACTTACAAAAATAACCTTGACTTTGAAAACAAGTAAGTTAGAAATGCAGTGTTTGCGCTTAGTGGTTTCTGTTTGTTTGGGTGGCCTCTCATTCCCACTTAGCCTCATTCTCCAGGTCCTGGGCTCCACCGAGGAAGACTCCACCTGCTCTCACTATTTGCCCACTGGGACCTTCTTTCCCCAAGGTACAGGATGTGATTCAGGGTCAATGGGTGATCCCTCCCTACCCATACAAACATGCCTGAAAATAATTTCATCTTGGAAATATTTGTTGATGCATGCTCTATAATGGACACTGAGCTAGGGTTCACTTACTTGTTTCCTGTCACATTATTTATTATTGAAGCACCTGAGGGTTTAGTAAGTCATTATTTCAAAATATGCCTGGAATGGGTTGCACATCAGTTTCATTTTTAATCATTGATGCTATTGCATTACTTTCTCCATTTGGTAAGCCAGTTTTAATGAAATGAAGTGTGACAGGGAAATTTTGATGTGAATAAGATGAGAAGGAAGACTCTGGAACAGGGACTTCTCCTCTGGATGGGGACGGGGAGGAGGAGTGTGGTGACGTGGGTCTGGGTGGTCAGGTTTACACATTAGGCTGATGCAGGTGGAGGCCACAGAAAGGGGCTTTTGAGTACTCTCTAATTCAGAGGTTTGATGGCTCTCTGAGTAACCTACATAAAGTTGAACCATCCTGTGGCTTGTCCCAATGTGGCACTACAATGATATAAAACGCCAGATCAAGTCGAAAACCCTTGAAGAGTAACTTATATCTTTACTGAAGTCTCCTGAAACGTGTCCAGGAAAGTTTGCATTTGTAACACTAGAAGCAAATGCCAAAGTCCTCTTTCATGATGTCTGTTAGTGGCACCCAGTGTTCTTTTTCTCCTCCCAAACTTCTTAGCACTTTCTAAAAATCTGGTCTAGGATTGTTCTTTTAGGTTCTCCCCACTTATTTTCTGCCTCCCTCGTAAATGTGTTGTGTCTGACCTCCACAGCTCTCACTTGTATTCATGACACCAAGGCTTCTTCCTCCTGGGGTGGGAGACACAATAGGGATGGGGATAGAGGCAAAAGAAGGGGATTCTATGAATATTCATAGTTTTGTCTCACCCACCCCAAATGTAGTTATATTAAACGGACCCACTGTGGAGCACTGATAAGATGGTAGACTCTTGGTCTTGAAGTCCTTATGGCTACTGCACTATCATTCTTCTTCTTAGGTCTTTCTCGCACTAAGTCGAAGGGATAAGCTTGGGGACATCTAGAAAGATGTGTTTATTTTTTCTATTCCTATGAGCTACATCTGGGACTCAGACTTATTAGACAGTCTGGGCTTCATTTTATCACAGTCTCTTTGATGAGGCTAATTTTTTTTCTGCCAGCTTTTGATAGGTTTATACTACAGATTTACCCTGTGACAGCCTTGAATCTAAACTGGCAGTGTTCACTGCTCAGCCACATCCCTGCCAACAAAACAAAAGACAGCACTGGTTGATTGGTTTAACCATTGTTCCAACGCCAAAGGACAGCGGTAATTATTGTTGAAGAAAAATTATTTGAAGATGCTTTAATTCTTCACTGGTGAACAGATACCCAAGCCCTCCAGCTAATGATGCACTGTCCACTTCGTTTGTATAGACATAACCACTGTGTAAAATTAACAAACAACCCAGGTCAGCCCTAGGTAAAATGAATCATGGAAAAACAAAGTTCTTGGGCTGTCTATATATTTTTCATTCTGCGTTACTGAATTTTCTTTGAAAGGCTTAGGAAAATAGCAAGATCTCAGACAACGTCTGAAAATGACAGACATCCAAAATACTTGCCAGATACAAGTGAATTTCACTCATTATTTCAGTTACATTGCAGGCACAGCCATCTTCTAGACATGAATTTTCCATTACAGCTTTCCTCCTTGTTGTTTTTCATATGGTAGATGGAGCATCTCGGGGGTTGTGGTTTGTAGGTATGTACATAATATGCTCCATTGGTAGCTTAATAATTTTTACTAAGACACAGATGGTCTCCGGGTCAGTAGTATTGGAGAGGGAGAGCTCAAGGCCGTTCTTGGGATCATTGAGAAAAGAGGAATACAATGAAGACTATTGAGACGTTTTAATGAGCCACTCCTCTCTCCCAAAACAATAAAAAAAAAATAAAAATGTTCAATAATTAAACCAGTTTGGCAATGTTGCGTTTTATGATCTCCTCTCTCTAAGCTTTGCCTCTTGGCCATTCTAAATAATTATAGAAACACGTATTCTGAACTAAACCTTTAGTTTTTTCATTTTCAGAGAAGATTCAGCTAGGCAGGATCAGCATGAAAGATGAGACAAAATGAAAGACCCTCTTAATCTGAATAGCTTGGTTCCTTCCCACCTGCAGGTGAACAGGGATATTGTGTCAGGCCTGAAATATGTTCAGCACACCTACAGGACTGGGGTGAAAGGTAAGGGAACCCACATTCCCACACTGTCCCAAACTGCTTCTCACTGATACTTAAACTTCTGGTTATTAGCAACTTTTAGCTGTAGACTCGGATGAGAATACGGTAAAAGCTGTGGATGCACGCTAGGAAAAGATGCGAATACACCTCCCATCTGGACATTGGCAAGGCCAGTGCTCAGGGGACCTAGTTTAAACTGGATCAGCTGCTAACCTTCAGCAATCAGCTTTTATGATTTAACATTATCACACATAAGGGAGAAGAGTAACCAAGATACGTTTGAAGGAAATAAATACAAAGTAAAAAAAATAAATAAATAAAAGCAGTTCACAGGTACAAAACCCAAGTGTGAGAGAAATCCAAAAGAAAAAGCTTGCCCAGTGGTATTATATGTATTTGGGGCAGGAGTAAGTGGAGGTGGCATTGGAGGGAAGGGGGAGGCAATGCTCAATTTCCTAACAAAGAAATAGAAAAAATATTTTTTAGGATTGAATAAAACCTCTCTAATTGAAACAAATAACATGACAATGTTACTTAATCTGCAGTTCTTCTTGACATGCCTTGGAAAGCCACCTTCAATTTTGTTTCATTAATATGGGCAGAGAGAAATGAGAGGCAGGAAGGTGATGAATGCACTTTACAGTTCCTTTCTATCCGAGGGTCTGTCCTCTCCAGAGACCGGAAACAATAAACCATATATGTCAGTTTCACCAAATTAATAAGCAAGATGGGGGAGAAATTGTCTGACAAATTTGTATGACAGAGGACCAGTCAATTTCTCAAATCCCAGAGAAGACCATTGACCTGAAAGGCTATTGATTGGCCTTTCCAATACCTAATCTCATGAAAAAAAATAAAAAAAAGTTTAGGCCGGGCGCGGTGGCTCACGCCTGTGGTCCCAGCACTTTGGGAGGCCGAGGCGGGTGGATCACGAGGTCAAGAAATCGAGACCATCCTCGTCAACAAGATGAAACCCCGTCTCTACTAAAAATACAAAAAATTAGCTGGGCACGGTGGTGCGTGCCTGTAGTCCCAGCTACTCAGGAGGCTGAGACGGGAGAATTGCCTGAACCCAGGAGGCGGAGGTTGCGGTGAGCCGAGATCGCGCCATTGAACTCCAGCCTGGGTAACAAGAGCAAAACTCCGTCTCAAAAAAAAAAAAAAAAAATCAAAAAAAAAAAAGTTTCCTTTGGGTATAAAGCCAGTATCGCCTCACTGAGACAAAAGGACAGTGACATGTCTGCAGCTGTTCTTTCAAACTTATTAGCAACACTTAGCCAATTATGTGCCACCAATCTGCCTACCTTTATTTATCCTTTTTAATGCCCAACTATTCTTAATATATATTCCAGTTAACCACCTATAAATAAACTTGACTGGCTGTTTTCACCATTTACCCCAGTTCTTCACTTTTTTTTTAAGCAATTTATTGCTGTTCTTTTTCCATCCAATTATTCTATCCATGAATTCTGATCACCATTTGTAGCTTTATCTCCCACAACTGACATGTTCATAGAATGATAGTCCATAGATAGACAATCCTTAAAGTCCATTGTATACACAAAGAAACAGAGGCTCAAAAATATTATGTGACTTAGGCCATTGCAGAACTGAGATCAGAACTTAGGTCTCAATTTCTTTGAGTTTTTTTTTTAATGGTGTAGTCTGGTGTATCTCCATGAAAAAAAAAAAAAAAAAAGCAGGCATAATCCTCATTGATTTAGGTCACTGGTTCTCCAAATTTGCATTAGAATCAACTGTATGGTTTTTTTAAAAACACTGATTCTTGGGACCCACAGGTTACTGAACCATAGCCTTTGGAAGTAGGACAAAGGAAACTGTATTATTAAAAGGCACTCCAATCTTTAAAAAAGATGCCTCAGGGCCGGGCATGGTGGCTCACGTCTGTAGTCCCAGCACTTTGGGAGGCTGAGGCGGGCGGATCACAAGGTCAGGAGATTGAGACCATCCTGGCCAACATGGTGAAACCCCATCTCTACTAAAATACAAAACATTAGCCGGTGTCGGGGCGGGCGCCTGTAATCCCAGCCACTCCCGAGGCTGAGGCAGGAGAATCTCTTGAACCCAGAAGGCGGAGGTTGCGGTGAGCCGAGATTGCGCCATTGCACTCTAGCCTGGGTAACAACAGCCAAACTCCGTCTCAAAAAAAAAAAAAAAAAATAGGCCTCAGGTAAATCTGATGTTTATTCAGGCTTGCAAACTATTGCCCTTGGCTTTAATCACTGTAAGCTGTACTCCAGATTCTCCAGTGTGCAGTGTGTGTTTTTCCTCTATCGGGCTCTTACCTGATGTACTCTCCTTGCTTCCTAGTGGATAAAGCAACGTTTATGGTTGGCAGCTATGGGCCTCGGCCGGAGGAGTATGAGTTCCTGACTCCCGTTGAGGAGGCTCCCAAGGGCATGCTGGCCCGAGGCACGTACCACAACAAGTCCTTCTTCACCGACGATGACAAGCACGACCACCTCAGCTGGGAGTGGAACCTGTCAATTAAGAAAGACTGGACAGATTGAATGCATCTGCCCATCCCTTTCCCCACCCTTGCCACCTGGAAGAATTCTCTCAGGCGTGTTCATCTCCCTATCCCTCCTCCCGGTCCACAGCTGTGTCCCTCTCCAATAGTGCCCACATTCCCATACTGATGCATCTTTTCCCACCCTGTCTCTTAAAGTGGTCCCTAGCACAAGAGTCTTAAAACCGGGCTTTCACCTGCCTGCTCTCTGATCCTCCGTCAGGGCCAGATCTTCCACGTCTGCATCTCAATACACCATCATTTAATATTTCCCTGTCTATTTCCTTTTTTTTTGAGACAGAGTTTTGCTATTGTTGCCCAGGCTGGAGTGCAATGGCGCAACCTCGGCTCACTGCAACCTCCGCCTCCTGGGTTTAAGTGATTCTCCCTCTCTTATTTTCACTCGAGCAACTAGAGGGCAGGAAATGGGCAATCACAAATAGGTCTTCGACTCAGGTTCCAGTAGTTCGTGCTAATGCCCAGATTCTTCGGTGGTTGCTGGCCCAGTGAGTCCCTCATCACATCCCTGCCAGATGGAGTTCTTCTTTTGTGGAAGACACTGCAAACAACATAAAATAATAAGAATAAAACAATAACTGCGTGTGTTCTGACTGAGGCTTCATTTCCCTGCGTTCTTCCTTCGAACAAATATGCTAACTGGATGGTTCACATTCGCGAGTTCCCTTAGAGGGGATGGGGATGAGGAAAACACACTGGAGATGTTTACATCATTGGGAACAAATTGGCCCGCTATTACACTGCAATAGGCACATTGGGAATACACAGTGGGAAATCTACATTTTACTTACTTAGTTATTTTTAATTTCAACTTTTATGTTAGATATAGGGGGTACGTGTGCAGGTTTGTTACATCAGTATATTGCACCCAGGTAGTGAGCCTAGTACTAAATAGGCAGTTTTCCAAACCATGCCCCACTCCCTCGCTCACCTCTCAGGTAGTCCACAGTATCTGCTGTTTCCCATGTTTATGTCCATGTGTGCTCAGGATTTCTGTTTCTGCACTGTTTTGCTTACGATTATGGTCTCTAGGTTCATCCATGTTGCTACAAATAACATAATTTTACTTGTTTATTATGACCATATAGTGTATCATGGTATATGTGCACCATACATTTTTATCCAACCCACCATTGATGGGCACCTACATTGACTCCATCCCTTTGTTAATGTGAATGGCACAACAATGAACATACATGTGCATGTGTCTTTTTAGTATACTGACCTACTTTCCTTTGGAGAATATATGTATATAGGGAGCTCTGTTTTAAGTTTTTTGAGAAATCTCCAAACTGGTCTCTCTCCACATTAGTAAAAATGTTATGCTTGGAAAGCTAACGGTACTCCTAGAAATTGGAGTGCTCTTCGACCTTAGTGTAGAGCTAAAAGGTATAGATGCCCTCACTTAGAGTTGCTTTCCACAGTGGCTGAACTAAGTTACATTCCCATAAACAGTATATAAGTATTCCCTTTTCTTTACACTCTCATCAGTGTCTGTTGCTTTTTGATTTTTTAAATAATGGCCATTCTGACTTATGTGACATTGTATCTCATTGTGGCTTTGATTTGCATTTACCTGATAATTAGCGATGTCCAGCATTTTTTGTATATTTGTTGGCGTCTCTTGTGTCTTGTTTTGAGAAGTACCTGTTCATGTTCTTTGCTTATTTTCTAATGGGGTTATTTGTTTTTGCTTCTTGATTTGTTTGGGTTTCTTGTGGATTCTGAATGTTAGACCTTTGTTGGATGCATAGTTTGCATATGTTTTTTCCCATTCTGTAGATTGTCTGTGTGTTTTATCAACAGTTCCTTTTGCTCTGCAGAAACTCTTTAATGAGGTCCCACTTGACAATTTTTGTTTTTATTGCAATTGCTTTCACGGACTTTGCCAGAAATTCTTTGTCAAGGTTGATGCCAAAAAAAGTATTTCCCAGGTTTTCTTCTAGGACTTTTATGATTTGAGATCTTAAATTTTTAATTCATCATGAGTTAATTTTTTATATGGTGAAAGATAAGGGTCCAGTCTCATTCTCCGCATATGGCTAGCCAGCTATCACAGCACCATTTACTGAGTAGAGAGTCCTTTCCCTCATTGATTGGTTTTGTTAACTTTGTCAAATGTCAAATGGTTGTAGGTATATGGCTTGATTTCTGAGTTCTCTATTCTGTTCCATTGGTCTGTGTTTGTTTTTGTACCAGTACCATGCTGTTTTGGTTGCTATAGCCTTATAGTATAGTTTGAAGTGGGTAATGTGACCCCTTTGGCTTTGTTCTTTTTGATTAAGATTGCTTTAACTAATCAGACTCTTTTGGTTCCCTATAAGGTTGAGAATCATTTTCTAATTCTGTGAAGAATGACATTGGTAGTTTTATAGGAATAACATTGAATCTGTAAATTGCTTTGGGCAGTATGGTCATTTTAAAGATATTGATTCTTCCTATCCATGAGCATGGAATGTTTTTTCATTTGTGTCACCTCTGATTTCTTTCAGAAGTGTTTTGTAGTTCTCCTTGAAGAAATATTTTATCTCCTTGGTTATCTGTATTCCTAGGTATTTCATTTATTTGAGGCTACTGTAAATGGAATTGTGTTCTTGATTTCCCTCTCAGCCTGGACATTATTGGTATATAGAAATGCTACTGATTTTTGCACATTAATTTTTTTTCCTGATACCTTACTAAAATCATGTATCAGTTCTAGTAGCTTTTTGGCAGAGTCTTTCGACCTTTCTAGGCATACAATGATATTGTCAACAAGGAGAGATAGTTTGACTTCTTCTTTTATTATTTGGGTGCCATTTATGTCTTTCTCTTGCCTAATTACTCTGGCTAATTATTTCTTTTATAATATTTTCACATGAAAATTCTCCTAATCTTAAGACCACACATCACAATGCCTGTGGAAATCTCATCTTGGACTTCCTCAGACACTTGTGGGTAAAATCAATTTTTCTCTCTGTCTTCTGCTTAAGACTTTTCAGTGGTTCTCGTCACCTACAGAATGAAGTTGAAGCTCCTGCACTTAGCATATCACATAAGACCTGCCGTGAGCTGTTCCCAACATGCCTTTCTGCCCTCATGTATCATTTCCTCCCTTTTCATTATTCTCAATTACTAGTAATTCTGTCACACATTGTATTTGCGTCTTTGTGCTTTGGTTCTTTACATAAAACTCTCTTTTTACCTTTTGTTTCCTGGGAAAAACTTATTTACTTGGGACTCTTCTTGGCAACCTCTGCAGGAAGAACACTTTCATTGAACCCTAGCGCTGTCCCTAATACCCTTCATCTGGACTGTCATAGCACCCTGTGAATTTTTCTATATCATTTTCCATTTTATATTTAAATTGTCTTTTTACTGGCTTATATCTCCCACTGGCAACCTAAACTGGCAGAGGCTGATCAGATCATAAATATCTTTCTACTCCTAATGCTAGGGTCAATACCTGGTACAGAATATTTACACTTTTTGTTTAAATAAACTGAGCTGACTTTCTTCTGGTTGGTTATGTTCTGAGGCCCTATCACTAAAACTTGGTCTTTTATCTCAGAAGTTGAAGCCTCCCTTGGAGCCAGCTGCAAAGTTCCCAGAGCCCTAAGAGCCCCACAGCCAATCACCTACAAAGTGGGCTGTCCTGAGTCAGCATTCCAAACCCAAAGTCCAGAGTTGGAGCAGAAGCAGGAAAGGCACAATGGAAGCTGCCCCATCCAGGTTCATGTTCCTCCTATTTCTCCTCACGTGTGAGCTGGCCCCCGAAGTTGCTGCAGAAGTTGAGAAATCCTCAGGTAAAAGAAACATGTAGTTGGATGGCCACAGAGTGAAAGTGTTCTTAGGAGAAAGTAAGGTAGCACGGTGGTTCTCTGGGTACTTTTGTTCCACACCCAGAAAGCTTTCCAAGAAATCGTGGATAAGATGCATTTTTAAATTGTACTTTAGGTTCTGGGGTACATGTGCAGATCATGCAGGATTGTTGCATAGGTACAAACACGGCAATGTGGTTTTCTGCCTCCATCCCCCCATCACCCATACTATATCTGGCGTTTCTCGCCATGTTATCTTCCTGAACCTCCCCACCCCCTGCTGTCCCTCCCCAGCCCCCTCAACAGACCCCAGTGTATGATGTTCCCCTCCTTGTGTCCATATGTTCTCATTGTTCAACACCCGCCTATGAGTGAGAACATGCGGTGTTTGATTTTCTGTTCTTGTGTCAGTTTGCTGAGAATGATGGTTTCCAGTTTCATCCATGTCCCTACAAAGGACACAAACTCATCATTTTTTATGGCTGCATAGTATTCCATGGTGTATATGTGCCACATTTTCCTTGTCCAGTCTATCATTTTGTCTAGTGGAGAGCAGGGAAATCTGGCAGTATCCTTCAGCGACAGAGCATCAGTAGGGTCACCTTCCATATGTTAGTAAAAATATTATGCCTTGGAATGCTAACAGTACTAGAAATTGTGCTCTCCTCTGCCTTAGTATAGAGATAAAAGGTATAGATGCGCTCATTATTTAGAGCTGCTGCTTCTCGCTTCAGTACCCTGACATTTTCTGCTTCTCTCTCTAGACGGTCCTGGTGCTGCTCAGGAACCCACGTGGCTCACAGATGTCCCAGCTGCCATGGAATTTATTGCTGCTACTGAGGTGGCTGTCATAGGCTTCTTTCAGGTAAGTTCAGCTACCCTACTTGCAATTCCTCCAAGAGCTAGAAATGTTCTACCTCAAGGGAGCCGCAGCAGCCACCTGCTGGCAGATGACACTGCATTAGAAATGGGAGCAAAGGGAGACAGCCACACTGTTTGCTTTCATCTTGTCCATTTGGACCTCTTACTTTCAAGACATTCCCAGGCTCTAAGTTATAGATTTCTCATACTTACTTCAAGAGCTCTGAGACTATGGGCTGGACCTGCTCGCCTATCGATGCTCTGAAGCTCAAGGCAGTATCTGCAGAAAGAACGCCTTCATGGAGCCCTACCATTGCACTTAGCGCATTTGGTCTGCACTCTCATAGCACCCTATGGATAGGCAGGGGCCAGAATGAACCCAGTTTATATCATCTGGCAGCCCTGTTTCCAGGATGCTGAAGCCCCTGGACATTAGTCAGTGCACAGCCTTTTAAAGCCTTTCCACAAATAGGTAGGCTCTCATTCTTCCTTCTCTTTGCGTTCTCTGAGAGGTTAGAAAAGGATGGCATTTTGTATATTCAAGGTGTTAACCTCCATCTTCCAGACTGGCTGCGTGGATAATAAAGGTATCCATAAATGAGACTGCCTTATTCCAGCGTTTTCGTCTTTCTCCGGGGTGGTAGCATCTGGCAATCCTCACAGCTGATCAAGCCCTACTCTGTCATAGCAGACCTTCTTGTCTGTTTCCGTTCAGCAATTCCAACTTCCGATTACCCTGTTAATTCTGTGTACACAGCTGGAAATCACTGCAATGAGATGCAAGTGGGAGAGGAAGATAGGGAGTACATTTTTCAGGGATGAGAAATCTGAGCTGTAGACAAAAGCACCCTCAGAAAGATGGGAAAGGGGCAAGAGCTTGGAACTGGAGGAGCGTGCAATAACGTAAACAGCCGCCAGATGCCACCACTTTATCCTTGGGCAATTCCATTTGAAGGAGCAGAATAAGAGAGGAGGCCTCAATTAACTATTGCTCATGGCCTGTAGTGAACTTCACACACCATTTCAGAAGAGCAGACACCAGCTCTCTCTGCTTGACCCCAGATGCAAGACTAGTATGTTTGTCCATTCTCATGCTGCCATAAAGACATACCCAAGACTGGGGAATTTATAAAGAGGTTTAATTGCATCACAGTTCAGCATGGCTGGGAAGGTCTCAGGAAACTTAGAATCATGGCAGTAGGAACCTCTTCACAGGATGGCGAAGGAGAGAATGAGCACAAGTAGGAGGAACGCCAGGCGCTTATAAAACCATCAGATCTTGTGAGACTCACTCACTGCCACGAGAACAGCATGCAGGAAACTGCCCCCATGATCTCCTTACTGCCACCTGGCCTGACCCTTGACATGTGGGGATTATGGAGACTACATTTCAAGATGAGATTTTGGGTAGGGACACAGCCAAAGCATATCAGCTAGCCATCTTCTTTTCTCCTTGCATGTCTCCTCCGTCAGCCTGGGGAGTTGTAGGGTAGAACATGTTTGTTCCTGTTAATTTCCTGGAGCTGCTGTGGATAAAGGTCTCATGACAGCAGGGAAAATGATGCCACCCTCCATAGAAGGCCTGGAATCTTTGCTCAGAAGCAGCTTCTGCGCCTCTTCCTACAGGCCTGGGCTGCAGAGTTGGGTGCGTGAACAGCATCTTCATGTGCAAAGCTCAGGCTTATCTACAGTGGCAAGAGAGGGACGGTCCTTACCTAGCCTGCATAAGCTTTTGTTAAAACTTCTAGCCGGGCGCGGTGGCTCACGCCTGTAATCCCAGCACTTTGGGAGGCTGAGGCGGGTGGATCACGAGATCAACAGATTGAGCCCATCCTGGTCAACATGGTGAAACCCCGTCTCTACTAAAAACACAAAAAAATTAGCTGGGCATGGTGGTGCGTGCCTGTAATCCCAGCTACTCAGGAGGCTGAGGCAGGAGAATTGCCTGAACCCAGGAGGCGGAGGTTGCAGTGAGCCGAGATCGCGCCATTGCACTCCAGCCTGGGTAACAAGAGAGAAACTCCGTCTCAAAAAAAAAAAAAAAAAAAAAAAAAAAACTTCTAAGCTTTCATTTTAATTATGTTTATTTTTGGGGGGCCTTTTGATGGCACCCATTTCATATTTTTGCATTTTTTTCCTTTCTTCCACAAATGTAACCAAAGCCAAAACTCAGGAGACAAGAGTCGGTGAGAGGAAAAGCATGTTTATGTGAAGAGTCAGTAAACCAAGAAGACAGTGGACTAGCATCCTAAAGTACATCTTGGCCAGGCACAGTGGCTGACACCTGTAATTCTAGGACTTTGGGATGCAGAGGCGGACAGATTGGCTGAGCTCAGGAGTTCAAGGCCGGCCTGGGCAACATGGCAAAATTCCATCTCTACTAAAAATACAGAATAAATTAGCCAAGTATGGCGGTGTACACCTGGAGTCCCAGCTGCTCGGGAGGCTGAGGTACAAGTATCCGGGGGGTGGAGGTTGCAGTGAGCTGAAATTGCACCACTGCACTCCAGCTTGGGCAACAGAGTGAGACTGTTTCAAAATAAATGAATGAATCAATAAATAAAGTACATCTGAAGTCACTACCAATTTTAGGCTCTTTGTATGTTAAGAGGAGGAAGGTGGGATCCAGCAATAACTGGCAACCATAGGCATCTGGACACCAGCAAGGGTCCCAGGAGGCTGGGAATTTCTTTGTCCCTGGTCAGGCCACAAAGCACCTATAAATCTTTAACACAGCATAGTTAGTTGTTTACATACTGTTCCTTTAATCCCAGAATTAGTTTTAAAAACTATATAACTGCTATTTTTACATATTATCTCAGTGCCCTAAAATTATTCTAACCTACATGCAGGAATGGGTAAACACCCCTTAAGCAAAAATAGAGTTGGTTATGTTAGCTCGTTTGCTGTTTCACTGTTAAACAAATTGTTCCCAGAACAGTTGCTTCTCAAATATATCAATGACAGTGCAGCCAAGCTAGGCAGGTCTTCATGATTTTGAGGCCTCTCTCAGCTCCTAGTAAACCTCAAGCTCTATCACAAGGCTTGACAGGAGTCTTAAGCTCAGCTACAATTTCGCGGTTACCTATTCACAGAGCCTGGGAAATTAAAAATGTCACTGCCAATTAAACCTACACTGTTAGAGGTAAATCATCGTGTGTTACTGGGGAGTAAATCAAATCTATGATTTCTGGTAAGCATCATAGCATACTTCTTTTCCCTATCCTTTGTCTCTCTCTTTCTAAATAACCATTGTGGTATTATTTTTTTCTCTTGTTTTTAGGATTTAGAAATACCAGCAGTGTCCATACTCCATAGCATGGTGGAAAAATTCCCAGGTGTGTCATTTGGAATCAGCACCGATTCTGAGGTTCTGACCCACTACAATATCACTGGGAACACCATCTGCCTCTTTCGCCTGGTAAGTTGGATGGGTAGCTTGAGCTTTCTCCCAGGTTTTCGTTAGGTTGTTCACTCATAAACTTGTGAGACTGGAAAGGACTCTGTGTCTTCCACACTAATCATGATGCCAAATTCAGGGACGTTGTTGACAAGGATGATGACTCAATTCAAGCTTCCCAAACAGGTTACTGTAATGAAACGGGAAGAGGACAGGAATGGAATTTGTGGTACTGTTTTGTTGCTCAATAGCTGCATGACTTTTGGCAGTCACTTAACATTTTTAGCTCCAATTCTTTCCTTTATAAAATAAAAGAGTTATACTGTATCATCTGTAAGGTCACTTTGAGCTCCAAAATTTTTATATTAAATATTTGGAGGAGTTCATCTATGGTCTTCAAACATTTCTTTATTAAATACTTCCTGTATTCCCTATGCAAGATACTGATAATAAAAACCTGTTAAATATATTCTCCACTCTCATAGATCTTAGTGAATGGTAAGGATTGTAAACATAATATGCAACTATCTATAATACAAACAGAATCACTATGTGCAAAGTTTTATCAGGGTTCAAAGGATAAAAGCAGTGTGGGAATTCTGAAAAAAAAAAAAAAAGAAAAGAAAAAAAAAAAACAGAACTGGAACTTAAAGAATTCATGACCAAGGGGAGAAAAGACTTAGGAAACAATGAACAGACCAACCTGACTGGATCCCAGGGTACATATTGGGGAAAATGAATATAAGACAAAGAAACTTGATTAAAATCATATTGTGGGGGAAAACGTAGAATACCGCTTTAATGAGAGGTGTTTGTCCTGAATTTGGTTGTCACTAAAAAGCCCCTAAAGCCCTTAAATCAGGGGAATAACATGAACAGAAATGTGTTTTACTGGATTATTTTGAAAATGAGGCACAGGATGGATTGTTAGGTTAAAAGGCAAGAGAAGAGGGAGTTTGTGTTAGGCTGACAAAACAGACCGTGTGATATGTATTGAGAGTCTGTAATAGAGAGGTAGCAATAGAAATTAAAGAAGAGGAAGATCCTGTGATCATTAGATATCAAAGTTTTGGAAAGGAGGCAAAGCTTAAAGCCAGGGTGTCTGGGAATAGTGAGGGCATGTGCAGAATGGGGATTTCTGATGCTTTCATTGGTTATTGAGTTCTACTTCTCGATAGAATATCAAGATAAAGATGTCAAGAGTTCACAGAAAAAGAGAAATTGATGCAAAAGAAATTTTCAATGTTTTGGGACTGAATTTTGTGCCCTATCTAGCTTCCATCCTTTCTTTCTCTTTTGCTTCTCATTGAAACTTCTTTTTTTTTCCTATACATACATATCTATGATAAAGTTTAATTTGTGAATTAGACATGGTAAGAGATTAATAATAATCAATAAAGAACAATTATAACAATATAACGTAATATATTTTGTGCCGTCTTTCTCTAAGCTAGACACTGCTATCTAGCTTATGCCCCATCACACCATTAAAACTACATTTATCCAGATCTGCATGGCTTCCATATTGCCAAACTCAATGCACCCTTTTTACATCTTATTTTACTCAACATTTCTGCCCTACTTGATGCTAGTGGCTACTCCTTCCTTTTTAATGTTCTCTCTTTCCTTGAATTCTAGGAGCCGACTTCTGCTGATCCTCTTGCTGAAGTCGACTTCAAGATCGACTATGATCCATAGTCTCCTTGAGACCTTCTCTTCCTGTATCTACAATGCTGCCTGACACAACACTTTTTCTAAGCTAGGTCATAGAACCCATGCTCTGAAAGGCAGAGACCGTTCTGTTCAGTGTATCCACAGAGCCCAGAACAGTGCCTGCCATGCAGTCGGTGCTCACTCAGTATTTGATGAGAATGAATGTATGAATGAATCAATGAATGAGTGAATATGTTCTACATAAGAAATGCAATTATTTTGCATATTCCACTATTATGTGCTGGCTGAGCATTTAGAATATTTTATCCCTAGTCTAGACTTCTCTCATGTTTCAAACCTTTCCTGGATACAGGCCTTTTTATACCCTCATAAGCACTATTAAAATGTTCAAAACTGAATTTATTGTCTGCACCTGCCAATCATGTTCCTCCATCTCAGATGTCGTTTTATTAAATGGCTATGTTCATTTGGTCCTTCGTTTTTGCCAGCTGTATCTTCTATTTTGAATCTATCTTCTCCTCCACTCCTTCTACCTCATTCTGGATTTAGGTTCGTAGCATCATCGGCATAAGTAATTTCAATAGCTTCTTAGCCGATCTCCCTTTACTACTTTATACACGGTTTCTAGAATGGTATCACAATGATGCATTTAACATAGAAATTTGACCATGGCACTCCTCTCTTTAAAATGCTTCAATAGTTCTCACTTCTTACAGAATCAAAAGCGAGACATTTAGTGTTACAAACAGGCTTTGCTGACCTGCCTCACTGCCTGCTTCTCAATTCCTTTGTCCATCCAGCGTCCACCCTGGGCTTTACCCTCTCAGTAGCCAACCATACACATTATGATCATCCAATTCCATGGTCTGGCCTAGACCATTCCTTCTGTCTAGAACGCCACTGCCCAAGGGTCCGCTTTCACCTGGCCTCACCCGGTTGACTCCTCATACTCCAGTGAACCAGTTCAGGAATGTTACTCTTCAGGAAGCCTCCTTGGAATCTCCAAACGGGCCTAAGCATTTAAGCATTCCTCTATATGTGATTTCTTTCTTCTTTCTCCTTCCTTCCTTCCTTTTTTTTTTTAATTTAGAGACAGAGTTTCACTCTTGTGGCCCAAGCTGAAGTGCAATGGCGCGATCTAGGCTCACTGCAACCTCTGCCTCCCAGGTTCAAGTGGTTTTCCTGCCTCCCAAGTAGCTGCGATTACAGGCGTGTGCCACCATGCCCTGCTAATTTTTTGTATTTTTAGTAGAAACGGGGTTTGACCATGTTAGCCAGGCTGGTTTCAACCTCCTGATCTCAGGTGATCAGCTCACCTCGGCCTCCCACAGTGCTGGGATTACAGGCGTGAGCCACTGCACCTGGCCAATTTCTTATCTCTATTTTTATGTACCACTTTATAGTTCATATCGTATATTTATGTATCTGTCTCCTCTATTACTCGCTTAGGCTATGGCCTATTCAAGGTTGGAAACTATGACTTATTCATCGTTGTATTCCAAAGGGCTATGATACACCTCTGGGACCTTGAAGGCATTGGGAAGATGCTTGGGGAACTGAACTCCCCTCCGAAAGTATGTCTGAGGTTTTGTGAGCGCCCTTCAGCAACCTGTTTCCCACCTGCACAGTAGTTGCTGGTTTGCATTCTCCCCAGTGTGAAACAGGATTATATCAAGTTCTTCTGTGAAAACCTTTGGTAAGGAATATATGGAAGTTTAGGCAAATGCCTTCCGTGTGGCCATTGAACCACTGGTAGAAATCCTTCAATACAAAAACTCTAATAAGCTACACTCCACAAGTACTTCCTTCCCAGTTTTCTGTTTGTAGGTCTTGTAAGACCTGATTTCAAAGGCTTACTACTACCAAGATACACATATGGGGAAGAAAATCAGGTGCAGTTACTTCCAATATCTCTAAGGCTTAACATCCTCTCAAGAGAGCATTGGCTCTGCTTACAATGGATTCCTTATAAAGCCTCCTTGGTGACTTCTCCGTTTTTCACTCTTCTTTAACATCTGTTTTTTGTTTACTGCTGGTGACAGACCTGCTCTAAATGAACTCTTGGGATCTTTGCGGGCAAGATTATTTATGTGCCATACCAGAAAACAGACAAACTGGTTCCTGCCTGCTTAATTGGCAAGGCTGGAAGACGCTCAACTTTTGTCATGCCAGCTTTCAGATAAATACTTTTTTTCACAGTTTACACTTTCCAAAGTTCGGTGCATATTTTAATAGGACCATTATTCAAGAGTTTGGATTAACTTTTTTTTTTTGTTTTTTTGAAAAGAGAGCATCACCCACGCCTATTCTATTTCACACTGGGAAATGTGAATGTATTGAAAATTTTCCGGGAACGTCTTTCTTTTTAGATCCAGTTTGTTTAGTTTGCTTGTTGGTTTTTAGAGCCTAATCTATGATCAGCGTTCTTACAATATCTGACCATTTAATTCACACAAGAATCTGACCAAGTAATTTTTATGATTCTGGCAATAAGGAAAGTTCCATGAGAGATTGGTTTAGTTGCCCAAAATCTCACAACTATGAAATAACAGACGTCCGATTCATACATTGAGGATTACAAATCATACCCTTTTTTACTGTATTATAGTGGCTTGCTAAAGCACTTGACCCTGAAGAGAAACTTTGTTTTTATACTGGATTCTATCTATTGTCCCTCATTCCAAAGCCTTTTTTTTTTTAACCATTTTCTCTTAAACTATTTCTCTATCCCCCCAGCATTCCTTAATCAATCTGCAGAATTACTTACCAAGATTTAATCTAGACATTATATAGTTTCTGAATTTACAAAATTTACCATTTTAAGAACATATTTAGAAATAAGCTGAAATAATAATTAAGTGAAAAAAAACAACAAGCAATTGATATTACTCAAGGCTTGAAATGTTGGAGTAATAAAAGGCCAGCCAATGCTGTATTTATGGAACACATCATTCTCCAAAAATAGTTCAGGCCAACTATATAAAAGTAATCCGGAAGAGTTTAGGTAAAATTCATGAAAACATAATAAGTTGCATTTAACAACCTTGCCGTTTGAGGGCACAGCCCGTCTTTTGTGATTGTAACAGCAGAGAAACTCTCCAATTTTTCAATAGGACCCTTACTGTTGCCCTAGCACAGAGGTAATTCCCAGGTTAAATAAACTATGAATCTGTCCTAAAATGGAACTCGAAATATTATTTGAATGTTTACCCTGCTTTGGATTTCTTCAGTCACAACTATTTTAGGAAACATAATTGACCTAACTTTGACCTAATGGGATAGAAGTGAAAACACAGTGCAGTCACCCTTTTTTCCTTTTACTTCATTTATCGGATGACTATTATAAG